CTGGAAAATAATCAAGAACATTTTAATAGATTAGAAGATTATTTTAACAGATTAATTAAACCAGCAGTTGAAATGAATATCTATATAAACCGATTTGATTCAAAGTTTTAAGAAATACTTTTGAGCAATCAATCAAACAATCATAAGAGCTACTTTCAAGAAAGAATCACACAAGTTTTGTGGAGTTTTTCAAAGTTCTTTCTTGAGGCAATTTTTGCATTCTTTTGGTGAAGAAACTCATTCTGCAGGAGCTGCATAATCTGGGTTTGATTGTTCTAGTTTCTTCTCTTTGTTCTTTCAATTTCTTTACTGTATTGTGAGTGTTTGGAATTGTTGGGCATTGGTTCTGTAGCTGGAATTTGGTTGTAGGTTGGTACAAGAACTGGAACTTGGTTCTTGCGTGGTGTGTGTCTGGAATTGTTGGGCACTGGTTCTGTAGCTGGAATTTGGCTGTAGGTTGATACAAGAACTGGAACTTGGTTCTTGGGTGGTGTATGTTTGGAATTGTTGGGCACTGGTTCTGTAGCTGGAATTTGGCTGTAGGTTGGTTCAAGAACTGGAATTTGGTTCTTGGTGAAGGTTTAGGTGCAAGATATGGAATTTAGGTCTTGTGGTAGATTGGGTGTGTGATTGGAATCTGTAATTTGTAAAACATTCAATCTAGTGAAACTCAGCTGGAATTTGGTTGAGAACTGGACGTAGCCCTGAATTGGGTGAACCAGTATAAATCTTGGTTGTGTTTCTCTAAACCTTACTCTCTTTAATTCTGTTGTTGTCTTACTTTGAATAGCTTGATTTTCTTGGTTCAAGAATTGGTCAAAACTCTTAATCTTTGAAATAGATAATCTGTAAATTGCGCAAATCTTTCAAAGATCAATTCAATCCCCTCTTGATCTCAGCCTCTTTTTCTAACAAACACCTCCCTAGAATCACACTAGGGATGAACACCTCCCCGAACAAATCAAAGGGATGAAAACACCCCCTTAGAATCCCACTAAGGATGAACACCTCCCCAAACTAATCGAAGGGATGAAAACACCTCCTTAGAATCTCACTAAGGATGAACACCTCCCTTGAACAAGTCAAAGGATGAAAACACAAACACAAACATAAACACATTGATCAAGAGACAGTATGCACACCTAAACCCACAAAGGATGAAGGCAATAAAATAAGAACAATCATACCTGGGTAATGGAGACACCAAATTGTAGAAGCATGTAGAATGCCAACCTCCAAGAACAAGTGTGAAAAAGTGTTATATTGTCTTGCTCAGAATTCTTTTCTCAAAACTGATTGAATGTAAATTGTATTTTCGAATTCTGTAATTGTGTATATTTGATTTTTCATCAAAACTCATTTAAATAGGAAAATAGCATCAGAAAATAGTCATTGGTCATTAATAATTTCGTAGAGAAAAATCAGGATGTATTAAAAAAACATTTATTCTTCAAAAATGGAAATATTTTTCAAATTTAAACTGTCATAATTAATTATGTTACCAATATAATCGATTATGACAAAGAGAAAATCGTTTTTCTATTTCTGATGCATCATAATTGATTATGACAGTGAAAAATGTCATGTTACAAAATTTTATCACACTTGTGTTTTGGAGGCTAATGCATAATACCATTTCATCAACTTGTACCTCCATATCCAGTATTCTAAGACTCTATCTAGTCTTCAGGAATCATCTTAGGCTTGCTTGAATCTTGAATAGTTTGAATAATCATATCTTGGGCTTGCTTAAGTCTTGAATGTTGTTGACTTGAATCATTATCAAAATCATCTCTTGGGAATGTAGGGACATGTTTCACATTGCCATCAATCTCCCCCTCAATGCTTTCAAATTGTAATGTTAACTTTTCTCGGATTGGTTGTCTTATGCAAGAACAAATATTGGAGAAGGTGATTGTGAAGGAGCCTAAAGTGAGAAGATTATTTCCTCCCGAGTTTGTTCTTCGTCATTTACAGTATTGTTGAATTTGTTTCTTGTTTTGTTTACAAATTGGCTAAAAGTAAAACACTTTCTTTTTCCTCTAGTGCTCATTGTGCTTCCTATTGTTCTGAAATGATTCATAGTAATGTTTAGGGTATGTTTCCTATGACTTCTCATGCTCACTATAAATATTTTGTTACATTTATTGATGATTAGAATCATTTTACTTGAATATATTTTCCATGTTTAAGAAATTTATGACATGTTGAAAATCAATTCCAAAGCAATATTAAAATATTTCACTCTGGCTCTGGTTGAGAATACATATCCCATGAGTTCTAAGAGTATCTTCAATAAAAATATAGTGTCTTAATGCTCTTGTTCTAATTCTCCTTAACAAAATGACATTGGAGAATGCAAGAATTGTTGTTTACTTTATGTGACCTACACATTACTTATCTAAGCCTTTGTTCAATACATCCATATTTTGGGTTGAATCTCTATCTACTATTATTTTCCTTATCAATCATTTTACTTTTATGTTTATTAGCTTAGACTCTATTTTTTTTTTTTTTGTCTTTTCAAGACTCATCCTAACTATGGTGCTTTACCTACTTTTGGTTGCATATGGTTTCTTCATTTACACCACTTGAAAGACATAAGTTTGGGACACAATTTGTGCATTTATGGGATATAGTCTCTCCAATAAGGGGTTTCGTGTGTTATGATACTTTTAATCATTCATTTCATATATCTAGGAATAAAATGTGATAATATTTGATAATCAATTTTTGTTTTCTTGTCTTTCTCTTACTAGAATGATGTTGTTATTCTTATAAAGTTTTTTATTATTTCCATCTATTAAAATTGAAAGTCATGTTCTCGCACCCCTTTTGACACTAGTTTGTCACCTATTCCAGTTGCACTTCTACGATCTAGTAGAATTTCTTGAGCACCTAATAGATATTAGTCAGACAAGTTTGATTCCTCCCACACTTTCTTGATTGATTCTTTCCCTAGCACATCTATTCTTACTTGTTACAGACAGGCCATTAAAAATGTATGTTATGTTAAGGTAATGAATGATGAACTTCAAGCCCTTCAATAGAATTACACATGGGATATTGCCTCTTCTCCTTTGAATATCAAACCAATAGGCTACAAATGAATGAATATGTGAAATTGAATTCTAATGGTTTTTTTAATCATTACAAGGTTTGATTAGTTGCCTTAGGGAACAAGTAGGAGTATAAAATTAATTATGTTGATAAATTTGCACCTATTGCCAAAGTAGGATTTGACAAGTTTTAATTAGTTGTCTTTCCTCATTGTGAGTTAACATGAAGTATTTACTCAAGCCGAAATAGGATCCCAAAGCATAATTTAACAAGTTTCAGTTTATTCTCTATGGGTTCTCCTACTTAGAGTAAATTTTACTTTTTATTTATATATCACACACCTATAGGTATTGTTGTCCTACTTCTTAATATTGATGATATGGTTATCATTGGTTCTTATCAAACATCCATCTAAGAACTTAAATAAAAATTACAAATTATATTTCATATGAAAGACCTCGATCACTTACTCTATTTCCTTGGTCTTTACATTTCATTGTACCTCCAAAGGTACATTTCTTCATTCACATAAGTATACTACAAACCTCATCTCTTTGGTTGACCTCCAATAAGTTAATCCAATGGATATTCTTCTTTAAATTAATTTTATAGAATGGACAATCTTAATTACTTGATCATTACACAACTGATATATCATTTATTGTTCAACAAGTTAGTTAGTTTATACATTTTCCTCATCATCTTCACTTAAAAATAACCCTTCATATAATTCACTAATTGAAATGATCCTTTCATCGAGGTATATTATTTTCTATTGAAACAACTCTTAAATTGATTATTTATGGGTGATGTTGATTTTTGTTGGGTGTCTTGATACTCGATGCTCAATCATTATTGGTACACGTTTCTTGGCTCCTCATTTATCTCTTAGAAAAGTAAAAAACAAATACAAATTTCTAAATCATCTACTAAATCAAAGTATCATGTCATGTCTATTGCTTGTTCCAAAATAAGTTTGTTTCACAATCTTTTGATTGAACTTAGATTTCCTCAATCTGACCTAATGTCTCCCTATGTTAATAATACAATGTTATTCAAATTGTTACAAATTCAATGTTTCATAAATGAACCATGCATATTGAAATAGATGGTCATTATGAGAGTAATTATGATCATGTTATATCATCATTTCTTTACATTAATACACAATATTAAATTGTGAAAATTATTATAAAGTTATTTTTGCCCATTTAACAATAAAAAATAACCTCAATTATAGGTTACGGATTAGGTAATCAAATATTTTTAATTAAGAATAATAATTATTTGTAAAAAAATTTATTATTATTTTTAAAATGAACAAGAAGGAATTAAAAAAAAAACATTTTTCTAACCATACTTAACTTTTTAGTGTAAGAGTTATAATAATGGAAACTTCAGAAAGTAAGTTGACTTTGGCGATGAAAATACAGTACAAACGAATGTATTGCATGCTGATAAAGAATGTTTGAAAAGACACGTACCCAAATTATTGAACAGATATCAATCGAAATGGAGAGAAGTTAATTAGATAATTTCTATATGTATTACTTTTCTTATATAAATATTAGATGAGAACGGATAGTATTAATTGTTCACAAACCATTTTTTTCTCTTCCCGTATGTTATTTCAACGTAAATTAGTGATGCACGATAGTTCAAGAGATTAATAATCAATAACCAATTATTAGTTTGTTAATCATAATGTCAAACACATTAATACTGAAATACCTTATTAATATTAACCGACAAAATAGTGATATTAAGAAAGGATAATTAAGTGCGTAGTATTATATTGGGACGAGTATGAAGACAAAACATGCCAACTGCAACCTGATCAGAAGAGATATTAAAAAAAATCTGTGAAGAAGACTCAAACCTGCCCTGCCCACAAAATATAAAGCGTGTCGTTGAAATTAATCAAAGGGCATAATAAGAAGATGGGAATTCCTTCAGAAATTGCAGCAGCTGCGATTGTTTTGTTGTGCCTGTGGAGTGTTACTGACAGTGTTCCCAACACCAACATCACTACCATCCTGTGCAACGCTGGTGGGTACACCTCAGGTGATCCTTTTGCTCTCAGTTTATCTTATGTTGTTGGAGAATTGGAGAGAGAGACTCCAACGCAGAAAAATTACGATAACTACAACATTTCCCCATATCCCAATGCCTTTGCCTATGGACATGCTGCTTGCAACCTAAATCTCACTTCCTCTGACTGCAAAACCTGTCTTGGTGTTGCTAAAACGGCCATGTTCAACGGTTGTCCCAACCGTATAGGAGCTCGCTCGGTGCTGCATGATTGTACAATCAGGTATGAGCAATACCCATTTGACGATTAGAGATACAGAATTGTTGGAGCTTTATTTTCATGTTTCCACCACAAGTCTTTGTAAGCAAAAATCTGTATGTGTACCACAAATATTGCTTCGTTATTAAGTCAAATACTACTCGCTCATGATCAACTCTCGTTTCGATTTCAATTTGATTACATAGTTTTAGGTTATGATTCATTTACTTATTGTATAGGACAGACTTCAATTACACGTATAAATGTAAAGCTCCTCAATAATAAAGTTAGTAAGATAGTAATTTAATTAACTTAATTTGATATGAAAAGATATATTTTTAGCATGTCAAGTCAAACAGGTTTGTATTCCTGCCCAAAAATACCAGAAGATTAAACATTTGAACAAGTGTTAGATAACATAAACATATAATTAAGTTAATTGAGGAAGTTAAATAAGAAAGTAGCAAAGGTAATGGTTTATTTGGACAAAATTATCTCTAAGTACATAAATCCGTACGTAAAGTGAATAAATTTCTCTTAAAATTAAAATAAGTTTCCAAAATTTGAAAACACAGTGTAAGAACTTCCAACCATTCAAACATATTAGTATAATACCAGCTCCTGCAGATACAATCAATTTGCAAAATGTTTTGAACCAAGAAAATTTCAAATCTCACAACGGAGCTGTCATTGTTTTGGAATCTTATGTTACAAAAGAGGAGTGCCAAGGTTGATAATATGCTATATCAACATTAGCTGAGCAATGCCTTACCACATCACAAAACATAGCACCAGAATGTCATTACAGCAACAATGCTACTTAGAATACAAATTGTATCAAACCTACTTTCGTTTCTAATCTTCTCCTCTTTTAACTTATTTTGCGCTCTTGAGTACGTAAGACAGGATTCATGTACTTCACTATAATTTTTACTCCTTCTGCAACTAAGTGCTTTCTTAAGAATAAGCAAACTGTTCCTCCCATTAACATGCGCACCTTCCATGTCTTCTAGTTGCATACTCAGCTCTGTTGATCTGAGAGTTGTTTGAACCCCCTCTTGTCCAGTGTGAACCACTCTAAACTTCATAATGAGGATGCACTGCACTACTTGAGAAGGAAGAATGTCCTTGGCAGAGAGAACAGATCCAAAACGAAAGAGAAAATCCTTATCTGTTGGCCAATGTCGTTGTCCATCTAGAGGGCTCCAGCTAGCAAGATTAGCAGATTGCTTAATTTTCTTGTTTACTATGATCCAACTAAGCAAGAGACCATCACGAAGTTCCTGCCATAGCTTCCCATCTTTCTTTTCCCTTTCCATAGAACTGATTGGCGGCAGTCCATCAGAAACAGAAAGGGTAACCACACCATCATTGGTATCATCTCTATCTGCACAACTGAGAAGATCGATCCGAAAGGGACAGTTGCAGAACCACGCATCATAGCCATCAGCGTTTGGAATTCCCCATAGAACTTTGGAGTAGATTGGTTTCTCCTTAAACTTGATATCCACAATGGAAACAAAATCGGATGGAGAGATTCTTTCTAATTCATTCATATCCCCATAATATTCAGCCTCTGTCCAATCATCAGGGTACTCAAGATAGCTGTTCCATTGATACTCTCCAGCCTCCTTGTTAAAAATAAGAGGAAAACAATCTGCGTAGAATTTTCTGAACCCGCCCATAGAAGATATTAAACTTTTGACATCTTCCCTATTTGTTGAAGGCCACATAGACGAACACACGTTTTCCCATAAAATTTCTTCTTTTGAGATGGAACAAAATGATGCACAAGTGCAAGCCGCACAAGCCAACGTAGGGCCATCAAGACGTCGTAATATGTCGTATAAGAGATCACTACTCAATGAGGCAATACTCTCAGCAGGTGCAACTGCCATAGCAATAATCCTGTGACTGTCAAAGACCATAATTCAAATCAAAATATGCACAAAAAAGAACGAGTTAGTCTATATTAGTCAATAATGGAGCATACAATTAATGTTTTGGTACCATGGTAATCTCAATTCTGTAAAGACTAGTGCCTATATAGTTTCCATGGGAACCAATGGGAACCAGTTTGTTTATCAGTGCCAACCACCAGATCTACAACTACTCAATCCAAATTTCATTGATGACAACAAGATAGCATAAACTTGTCATGGTAAAATAACTACTACTTCAATTTAATAAAACAAAAATATCGATACTATCATATTGTGGGAGAGTAAATTGATCTGCTCAAGTTTCAAAAAACTAGAACAAAATTAATAAAATTTCAGTAATCTGACAAACTAATTTGTGAATCAGAAGCATGAAATTCAAAATAAATGGGAGCTCTTTTTTAACATAAGATTAGTAAAAAAGAGTAAGGCATGTTGTATCAATATACCCTCCTACATAGATAGAAGTGTAAATGTTGCTGTTGTCAATAACAAATAACGTCTCTTTTAGATACCCCAATATAGAACATCAGATTCGAAGTAAACTAGTGACCGATACTGCTTCAAAGCCTGCAATTATGAAATAATACATGAGGAGCTTGCTATTTAAGTGTCCATTATTGACCACCAAAGCCATAAGTCTGTTTTAGAACTTGTATTATGCATTGAAGAAGTAAGCTAAGAATTACAGTGAAGATAATATCGGCACTGAAATAGTTATTGAGAAATTAAATTAGTAATGATAGAAAAGTAACAAGGGTCCTATATCCCTTTTAATAAGCATTCTCTTCACATCATATAGCCACCGGTTTAGCTATGAGAAAACATTATACAGAAGAACAGAGAATGATTATAACAACTAATTCAGTATTAAGCACTCAAGGTAAGCTACTTAGAAGCACTCAAAATCACTCTTTGGAAAAGATGCTTCGTCATGACAGTAAATTAGCAGTACTAAGTATAAATAACATACTAAGCATAGTAAACTATTCGAGAGGAAAACTCCATATCAATCATCTATTCACTTTGATATCCTAAATAGACGGATGAAGATTAGAGTTCCAATAACATAAGATATTCAATTCACATCTTAAGTATTGGAATTTAAGGGAGTTGAAGTTTCATGTTCTATAAAAATTGAAAAGTTGAGAAAAACTCATAAATTTATCGACTTAAGGTTGTAAGTTGAAAATAATATGATATTCTCTTATGATATATCAGTGACAATCTCCCCTATTTGCTCCTCTCATGATTACCTAACATTAAGAGCAAGATCACCATGCACTTAGCAAATCGATGATGGTGGATTTGGGTTTAATTGGTAAAGGTATCAGGTACTAAGATTTCCAAAGATAACCTATAAATAGAACTCTAGCTCGTAAAAGCTGTGCATATTCTGTTTAATTCAAATCTAGATGTAAAATTCAACACCACTGAACTTGATTCAGTGGTTTTTGTTTGAAACATGTCAAAAATTAAATTAAGAGAAAAATATTGAAAGGAAAACATCCAATACGTGAAATATTAGTGTAAATGAAATCATTTTCCTTTGGTATTATTAATTATATTAAATACTAATAGTTTCCTACAATCTCAGAACAGAATTTCACTGCAGAAATTTTCAATTTTATTAGAAGCTAAGAGTTGAAAATTCCAAACCTAGCGTCCAACCAACAGATGCCAATGATAAGAGTATCAAGTTAAACATCAAATAAAAAGAAAGAACAAAATTTAAGGTTGAGAGAAAAGAAAAAAAAAAAAAAGGTAATAATGTATATTTTTTCCAATTTCTCTACACAACCAAAGAGACGAAAAAACACAAATTATAAATAAAAAATAACATCAAAAGCGCTGCACCAAAGTTTTACCAATAAGAAAAGCATCAAGCTAAGTATATGTCTGAGCTGCATTTCATAACTCAACATCCATTAAGTTTTGATAGTAAAATTTTTTAATGCATTTTGTTTTCCTCTGGAATTTACAATCTACGCATGTAATCAAAGTTATGAGAGACAAGCATTTAACCAATGAGCCTTAACCATTAATGAAAAACGCATTTAGGAAATAACCTGAAACAGTTTATATGGCTGCAGCAGAATACCCTTTAACTTCAACTGTTCAACATTAAAAGTTGATCCATAACAGGACTCCCACCTATCAAACATCAAACATAAACAATCAATAATGGTAAACAAACTTGAGAACGCCCCCTTATATATAGGAAATACACAGATATGCCCTCAAATTCAGCATGTCAAAATAACTAGCATATATGGGAAAGAACAGAAATAAGCATTTCAAAATTACAATGGAGGGAAATAGAGGGCTGTCAGTAGTCACCTTAAATACCCCACATGATTGATGATCAACAAGACAAACTGCTAAAAATGGAAGAATAGAGACAAGAATAAATGGGGCAGAGGAAGTGAAGAACAAAAACAAAATAACTGACCTTGAAGCAAACCCAGCTGAAAATACAAGGATTTTGGACAACTAATAATGTAAGAAGATGGGTTAGAGGGTCACAGTCCATTGGCTGTGGAAGGAAAGATGTCCCTGTTGGGGGTACTGTTCTTATGTTGTCCTGTTTCTTAGTTGTTCTCAACTAAACTTTGAAAAGACATGGATGATTAGGCGGGTGTGAAGGTCAACCATTTCCTACTCTACTCTTGATGTGAACCTCCTGCACTACCTCTTCCGTTCACCACACAGATTTTGCCACCACCCAAAACCATTTTTTAGCAAAAATAATCTTGTGAACGCAAGTGTGTAAATTAGTTCAATTAGGTATTCAACAAATGATGAGAAAGAGACAATTATCTGATTCATAAAAATTTGAATTTTATTGACTTCACAAATTTTTTTTCCAGAATTTTTTTTTTTAGCCCTCTTCTTATAATCATATAAATAAGAATATTTAATATTTTGGTTGGTTGATTAACTGGGAGAAAACAAAAATAATAATAATAATAATAATAATAATAATAATAATAATAATAATAATAATAATAATAATAATAATAATATAAAAATCTAAAAATAAATGTTAAAAGGTTGTTTTTGTCTTTTACAAAAATATCAGTATTCTTTTTTTACTTGATGAAAAGAAGTCTTTTTTTTACTTTATGAAAAGAAGTTACTCCATCTGTGCCCTGCATTAGTCTTTTAAAATATTGACTGAAGTTTTCATTTTAATAAATCGTTATTTTTCTTATTTTTATTTTATATTTAAATTAATTATTTTTATATTTGTATTATATATAAAAATATTTCTTTAATCATTTTTTATATTTTTATAATATAATATTATTTTTATCAATTGTAAAATAAAAGAAAAAAAGTTAAAATATGAAAAAAAGAAAAATATATATAAATATAAATATTTTAAAAAATTAATAATACAAAAAATATGAATATGTAGATATATTTACATTAATCTTAATAAAAATAATATATATATTATGAAAATATGATTTATTTAAGAAAAATAAGATTATTTTAATATTTATCTCAAAAGTGATATATATATATATATATATATATATATATATATATATATATATATATATATATATATATATATATATTATTTTAACCTGTATATTTGTAAAAATACATGTTTTATCTTATTTGAATTTTTATTATTTTATTTTAATAAATACAATTTTAATGTTTCTATTTATTTTGATTTTTATATATATTTAAATGAATGATATGTATTTTTTTTTTTTTCATGCGCAAAAGTTGTCCTGAGGCCTATTCAACGCATTCTAAACAATTGATTGTAAACTACTTTTATTTCTTTTACTTTTTTAAAACCAAAAAAAAAGTGACAGTTAAAGTAAGTTTTTTACTTTAATTTTAAAATATTATTAAAGACTAAAATAGAAAATAATTTATGTACAAAATATGTAAAAATTTTGTATAAGTCATATTAAATTATTGGTTTTGTACTGTAATTTAAAAATATTATGATATCTAAGATAAGAAAATAATTAGTAAAAAATAAATGAGAAATTCTCAATATAAATAAATAGATATAGATAGATAGATAGATAGATAAAAAAAATAGAATTATTATGAGATAAAGGCAGCAATATATTTTAACAATGTAAAATCATTTTTAAAGTTATGTCATAAAAGATTTTAATTAAATGATGATATAAATTTATCTTACATAATTTGTTTTTTTTTTTAAGTTTACTTTTATATTTCTTTAATAGTTCCAATAAAATAATTTTATTTTAATTTTATAATTTTTTAAAAGGATTTTGTACATTTTCGTAAAGAAATAATAATTCAGTGATGTCTAAATAGTAAAAAAAAATACAAATTAATATTCTTAAGTTAAGGATAAAAAAAATTATTAGAGTCCACATTTCTATGATTTCTTTTATAATTTGAATGAAAAATTGTTCATTGATTTTTTAATTATTATTCTCTTTAAGATATATAAAATTTAAAGTTGAATTATACACACTAAAATAAATATTATATTTTAATAATTTATTAGTTTTTTTTATTAATATCTTGATATTTTTTATATCAAATTATTCTTAATCACTTGTTATATTCTTTATTTAATAAGTATAATTAAAAAGATAAAAATATAATTGATAGAAAAATAATTAATATAATCATAAACTTTACAAATATCATATATTTAGAAATAATTTTATTTATCAAAACATCATATATTTCAAAGTAAAAATAATTTTATTTCTCATCAAAACATCATATATTATTTAAATTAGAATGATAATTTATTTTTAAATTAAGAAAACGACAATAATATTAATATTTTTACTCTAAAATTTTCCATTTTCTTATTATTAATTACTCTTCTCTTAATCAGCTTTTCTCGAATAAAAAATCTTAAAGGAAGTATTAGATATTATATTACAATTATAACAGTAAGTTTATAATGGGAATAACAAAAAATGATTAATTACTTTTAAAAAATATTTAAAAATTATAATATAAACAAA